ACCCTGCCGCAGTTGATGTTTGCATGGCTCCTGCCCCACTGCCAGTGTGTGATGAGTGGCGGATGCTTGTGTAGTTGTGCTCAACATTCACCAACAATGCCCTTTATTTGTTTGATTTTTTCATGTGATGCCTACTTTTGCTGAGCCTCTTCCTGCACTGTTCTTTCAGAATAGTCCTAGCACAACACTTGGGCTGGTCTTTTCTGGAGGCAAGCCTGAGTGTTGTTGCATGCACCTGCAAAAGGAAACACCCATGACAGCTTCCTGTGTACTGATGGACTCCAGGGATTTTTGCCTGGGGGGAGAGAACTCCTCCTGTACAGCAGTGTAACCCACTGGTGGTCAGGTCCCACAAGGTTTTGACCAGAGGTCCATAATAAACAAGTAACTCCTCAGTAACCATAGGGTAGAGACTCAGTGTATTAGAGAAATACCTAATAAACCACAACCACCACCACCACCACCACCACCCCCGGTGCGTTGGGTGTCATTCCGGCCTCGCCGAGCTTCGGGCACTCGGCGCAGTCGACAGACCATCGTCCAGTACCGTCTACCACCCTTAGATGAGGTTTCAGACCAGCAGAATGACCACACCCTCATCGACACCACCCCACCAAAATTTTTCATCACTTGCACAACTCGACATACCACCATTTCGCCCCCGACAACACATCCCTGGCTCTCCTTTACCCCATTTCAATGCCCGTGTGGTCCGCTTTCACGTGATTTGCAGCTGCTTGCCCGCGCCCGCGTCACGCGCCGCTTGCGCTCGTTTCCACCTCAGCCGAAAAGCAGCACTGCCCGAGCACCCAGATCCCCTTACCACCACAGCAGACCACCTCCCACATCTTCATATCCATCTCAATGAATTACACACATCACTCCTTGACTTCTTGACCCCACCGCCACCCGTCATCCAAACCCCTGCTTGCGCATCCGACCTCTCACTGCATTCCAGCAGCCACAGACCAGTTGCACACTTCCCCCACACGAATCCTCCTCCTTTGACACCACTTCAAGCTCCTTTGAAGCCCGCTACGCCTCCCCTGCTTACCCTCATCGATTTTCAGTGGATTTTGGTGGATAGCTGATGTAATGTGGTCACATGGTACTGGACAGTCACGTTGGTATAAGTCGGACATTTCGGTTTCTCTTTCTTTAGCTTCGGCGTTTTCATTAGTTTATATTCTCAGTGATCCGCCATGGTGGCCTGCTGCACCTCAGTCATGTAATACTGGCATAGGTGTGATACTCCAATGTAAACAAATGTAAACAAGTAACTACAGGAGAGTAAGTAAAAGTAAGCAGTGTTAGTAAATAAGGACATACCTCCTCAGTAACCATAGGGTAGAGACTGAGGAGGTCTGAAGGAGGTCAATATATATAGGTTGACCAGAGAAACATGTGGGTCAACGGAGAAAATAGTGGGTCAGAGAAGAACCATGGAAACGAATGATAGAATCACACGGTGAGATAAAGAACTGTATGGTTCAAAGATGTGAAGCATATGGAAAGCATGTGAAGTGAGGTCAGCTGGGGCGTAACCCCATCAGTCTAGCCTTATTGAGGCCGGCCAGTCCATGGTAAGCCAGCATCTTGTGCCTATGGACCCCCTGGAATGGTGTTGTGCTCCAATGGCATCTTGTAGAATTCTGTAAGGATAACAAGCTGGATGGATATCTTGTGACCAATGTTAAATCACTTGTACTTGAGATTCAATGAAATTCAACCACTTCAATATTTGAAGGCCAGAGAACAACACCCAGCTAACAATGCTAATTGGAAGGCAACCCACATGGCCTGATGGTCTAGTAGTATGATTCCTTGTTAGGGCATTCAGCTGTTTCGAGGAGGTCCTGGGTTCAATTCCCAGTTAGGCCCTATTTTTGTTTTTGTTTTTGTTTTTTTGTGGTGGAACGGTCCAACTGGCTTGCATTCAAAGCACAGGTGGAGTAGCAAGAATGCAGTCACATCACTAATGCAGCCAGCAACGGGCTCTGAATTGTATTCAACTGTGGATTGCTAAGGTAGGTGCAGCGCGCATCCATCGAGTCATGTGAACATGACTGATGGGTGACCATAACGTGGGAAAGTGCGAAAATTTGGATTGTGAAAATTGTAAAGCATGTTTTCTTGTACTCTTTACACAGAATAAATCTACAGTTTATACTACTAACCTAAGATTCTGCAAACCATCAAGATTTTGGGCTTTGGCTTCTCTTTCTCTTAGCATCAAGCATGAAATAAGAACATTTTGGGCTTCTGGGTGATTGAAAACGGACCTTGACAGCACACTTGCCCAAATTTTTGGTCCTGGACTGTACCTTCTTTCTGGGTATTGGGTTTCCTTGCTAAGCGACATGTAATATGTGTGGCAGGGGGGCAGGAAAGTCGGTGGCAAAGTGAAATAGACGAGAAAGTGGCAGGCACGTGACCGTGCTTAAGGTTAGGGTTTCCTTTTTGGGAAGCGCGAAATTTCCGAAGCAAAAATGCAAGTCTGTTCCACCGTTCTCCTAACAGTTTCCAAAAAATGTGTGAAAAACATTTTATTGAGGCCATATATGAGAAATCTAAGAGCATAGGATTGCTCCTACAGTTGAACTAAGGCTTTTGATGGTCTTTGTTTGTGGCCCAAAGGCGGCGGGATTGAGTATTAAGGGCGGGATGGCGGCGTCATGCTATGAGACACGTGACTCGATGGATGCGCGCTGCGCCTACCTTATGGGAATACAACAAAGTACTAGCCTAAATGTACCAGGGAAGAGACAGTGGGTGACTTCCCATAAGCATTGAATACTCCAGCTCAATTTCTGAGCAGTGCCAGTGATGTTGATTAGTGATATTCTGAGTAAATATATATTTGCTGGTGATTCCCGTAAACCGACATATCATTTATCATCATTTGGAATAAATGCAGGCCACAAACAACACACTCAACAGATTACTCCATCCCAACTTGACCATCAGTGGACCTTGACATGTACTTCTTATGTCACATGGCTATTGCATGCAGAATGCAGGAAGCCAAGCCAGCTCTATCTGTGCTGACCCCAGCTGCTACTAAACCTAAGGATCAATACCTTGTGGCAGGTCCTTCATGCAAGGCTAATGATCACATGTTCATCATGACAATGGGATTCAATGTCAAGACATTCTCTGCCATAAATAATGTGGGCTTTTAATCTCCCTGTTCAGACAGTGTTATATCCTGAGCCAAAGAAGGATCAACAGGCCCCCCGGAGGTCCAAAACCAGAAAGATACCGGTGTGAGCCATCACCTTGTGATAGCTCCTGACAGGGGCTCAAACCAACGCAACTCCGACATGTGCAAAAAGCTGAAGGCCCGATGGAGAATCGAACTCCAAACCCCCTGCAAAACATATCCAGATCCGACTAAGACTACGGAGTGCAATACCAGTTATGCCACCGAGCTGTTCAGAACTTCAATATCCTCTTAGTATCTTCAAGACTTTGATTAAACTGGCTGGTGTGAGCCATCACTTTGTGACAACTCCTGCCGAGCATCCGACCAATACGAATATCCAAAAATGTCTCATACAAAACATGGAAGCTCCGAGAACCGACAAATTCAGAACCGCCTTGAGAACAACAAAAGAAATATTTTAGATGCAATGGCTTGACACCTAATAATTCCATATAACAATACCAGTTAGAATGGGCACATGGGTGTATGTGCCCATTCCAACTAGTATAGACCCTAGTAGCAAGCTAGCTGTGATTTGTTTTTTTTTTGTGTATTTTAATTGATTTTTTGGCTTTTTTTTGGGCGACTTCCTTTTTGGGAACGGTGCATTAGCTAATACACGATGAAAATGTACTCTAAGTCATTTATGAATATTTTTGCAGCATATTTTGCAGCATTTGTGGATGCCGTTTGCAGCATATTCTGCAGCATAGGCAATATGCTGGAAACGCCTCTAGTTGGAATGGGCACATACACCCATGTGCCCATTCTAACTGGTATTGTTATATGGAATTATTAGGTGTGGCTTGACAGAGAATCAAACTCCGGACCTCCTGTCAAGGCACTTGTGCAAGAGCACTAGAGCAGGGAGCGATACCAACTACGCCACTGAGTCGTGTTTCCATACCTCCGAGAGCTAGGGATTCTGACCAAATTCCGCACATTGACTACCGAACATGCTTCGGAACTAAAGGAACCTCCATGCCACTCTATCAAATCACAGCGCAAGCTATGCAACCCCGACTCCCGTCGGAACTTTAATTACCATTCATCTCATCCATGCCCATGAGTGCAGGAGACCTTCAGACCTCATCGTGACATCCCCATTCCTTGGAAAAGCTACTCAACGGTGCTCGGAACCCCCCTTTTTTAGTCACATTCCCCTGGCCACGGACCACTCGGAGGAGCAGGAAGACGCGTACGATTCTGGAGCAGGAGACCTATGGGAACCAGTTGTTAAATCCCAAAGTCGAAGTTGGAGGAATGATCCGTTGATCGGAAGGTTCCGGTGCCGGAGATCGGAAGGCGGAGCGGAAGTTACAGATCAATCGCAAACACCACAGGAAGGTAAGAGTGTGCGTACTACCTGGACTGGCGAGAGTAGAAGTCGTTCCGATGAAAGTCGGAACTCCGGAGGACGGAAGTTTTAAGGAAGAGTTCAGGACAAGACAAGTAGTCAAGAACGTTAATAATCAAACTGAAGTTACATACAGGCATATGGACTATTTATACTAAGTCATAATTACATACGGCTGTAAAGTCCATTTGGATATAACAGTATCAGAAACGGAAGAAGCCACAAGTGAGGTATACGGAGCGGTGAAGTCCACTTGAGTTGAGTGCGATAAAATAAGGAAGTTAAAAAATGGGAAACGCTCAGTAATCCTTCATTGCGTGAAAACCCAGTTCAGGCGGCATGCAAAGATCCGGACGCCGGAACATCCTGGAGGTGACGGAACACATCGGGAGTTCAGGACGTACAGATATAACACCAGTATAGCAAAAAGGAAGCGAAGGGCCCAACGGAGAGTCAAACTCCGATCCTTCCATGAAGACACACATATCCAAACCCAAGGATACAGGAATGTGTTACCATTACACCACTGGGTCATATGAGTAGGAATTAGGAAAAGGGCTAGAGCTTACATTCCGCCGGACCCCTAGTATCTGGTTCTGATTCCTCCTGAGGAAGTTCTGAGTGTTGGGATTCAGCCTTCACCGAGGCAAGAGAAAGGAGGTGACCATAAAAGCGCTAATTATTAAAAAGGTGCTGAGATAGAGGAAAACGGCCCAACGGAGACTTGAACTCCAGACCCTCCGAAACAACGGTGCTCAGCTTCTACCGTATCGGAGTACGATCCATTACGCCATTAGGCCATGAAGGGTATGAGGAACAGTAGGCCAAGTAGGGCGCTTCCTGGTAACACTGGAAGGCACGATGAAGCCAGCCAGTCTCGGAAGTTCAGCATCCCCGAGAACACTGAGAGGGAGGCAGGAATGCGAACAAAGAGATCAAGGGAGCGAAGTGACTAGGGCGATCGGAAGGCAGATGGGCAACCGAGGTTCCGAGAGCTCCTGTGGGAGTATCGAAACCACGAAAGGGGATGCACACGCGTGAGATGTCTGTTTTGGGCAATAAGGCAGCACCGGAGGCAGGCGAAAGGAGTGGTATCGTAAGTTGGAACTAGTTAGGAGCGTGGGGTGCGCACGGAACATCTTCCGAGGCGCTAGGTATAAAAAGGTGCTGTAGTTTATTTACAATGAATGCATCTCATTTTGAGGCCCACATTTCCCTCTAAGTCACACCGACCAGGAAAGACAAGTGTGCCACCTCACGTAGAACTCCCAGGTCATTGGAGGTCCGGTTGCACAACGAGCTGCTTCCATACCACGACATCGTCTACGACCTCGTCGTGGTTCCAGCCCGAGTAGTCCTCCGCTCGGCGCCGTTTAAAGAAATACCCCTCTACGACTAAGTAGGGTAGTTGAAAAGCCCTCAAGCTCCACCACCGGCTGCCGACAGAGGTCGCGTGTGTAGACGCTAGCTGCAAAACGGATTAAAAGCGCCTTCAGCAAGCAACTTGAGACGGAAAGGAGGGTGAAAGGCTTCGTAGGGCACAAAGAAAAGAGGTAGAAAGGAAGGAGTTGAACGACCGAGGAACTACGCTACCCCGCCCTCCGAGATTTACGATTTTATAAACCTCCGAGCTCGAATCAGCGAGTCGGAAGGATATGAAAAGGAGACATACCCCGGATGTACAGGAGAGGGAGAGAGGAGTCCGCATCGCGTCAAAGAAGGCCTTCCTCTACTTCCGACTGTAGAGCGAGATCACCCTGCATAAAACCCGGAAGGCTAACTACTTCCGACTACCGTCAACAGTAGTAGCGCCCTCTAAACGGACTTTCCGTTAGAGTTACCTAATCTTTCTTACAATACATTTTGCCGCAATTGCCAGGAGACTATCAGCGACAGAATCAATTTCCCTCTAGAGGACGACCTATCTAAATTGCAGACTACCCAAGGCACCCAGCCCACTTGGCGTCTACAAGAACCGCAGTCCACATCACAGTGCTTTGTGTGATGTTTTCTTTAGGCCATTTGTATGTCGCTCATTCTTCTTGCTGTCTCACCCTTCTAATCACGATCTCGTCAGGTCGTACGTTCCATTCCCGTGTTGTAAATTAAATGTATATCTAGATCTACACTTGAATATACCATTTGAATTTATATGTACTATATGTGTGATACAATCGCCCGAGCCATCGGCTATTCTGCCCTGGGAATTATGCTGCCACTTTTGACACCTTGGGGCATGCTGCAAGACCATTTGGTACCAGGAACCTTGAGACCCTTTGAGAGCCATGGCGTGGCTTGGAACTGATCTCAAGAACCTGACATCTGTGCTGCAAGCCACCTAAAGCCAAATGACCTTGTAACAGCTCCGAACATATTTGGAGCCGTTGCACGTGCAATTTTTTTTTTTGGCGACACAAGTGATCTAAGTGGAAAATAAAGATGGCAACATGAGTACATCCATAGCCCTGATGTCCCAGGGATAATCACAGTATCATGTATGTCCTAAATGTATATGTGTGATCTGTCCGGACTCTGATTATCACACTCAAGCAGTCATCAGCTGCTCCATTCTTCTCTTTGCCCACCCTTCTCTCCCTTTATCTTTTTCTTTTAATTTATGTCTATTCCTGGGCTCATAAGGATGGAAAAATTGTGTATTTACACACACACCTTATTCAGCATGTTTTTAACCCTGGTACATCATGGAGTGTTCATACCATATTGAGAGATTGATAGGTTGATAAATTGGTTTATGCCTGCAGTGACCCTTGTGCACAGAGAGTAAGAATAGAAAATGCTCAGGACAGGATCATAAATCTGACCAAAAATAGCAGGTAAACATCAAACACAGCTTTGATGAATCTATCAGGCCCATCAGAATGCTTCCCTGGCTCAGTTGGTTAGAGCGTCAGTCTCATATTTATGTGCGTAATCAGTTGATTACTTAATCTGAAGGTCGTGAGTTCGACCCTCACGGGGAGCAATCATTTTTTTTACTTTTGTTTCCTGTATTTCTATCTTACTCCCATGCCAAATGACTTATATTAAACCTCATTGTTTCTGTACAAATTCTGTGTCAAGTTATGTGTATTTGAGCCAAATGATCTGTGCATAAGGGTTCTTATGTTTCTGATAACCATTGCACAACATCTGTCAGCAGAAGGCCAGTGTCCATCATGCCTTGCATCCCATGTGGTGATGAGTGAGCAGCCCACACCACATCAGTTTGCACGTGTTAGTCTGTAGATTAGTCAGCATTGTGCTTAGCTCCCACCTTATCCATCTCTTTGGCAGGATCCACTCATGCACCCTCCTAGCGACTCTGAGTGGCCTGCTCCATCTTGGTCCTGAGAGTGTGATTCACACCCACGAATTGGCCCAGATTTTCTATGATACAGATGTATTTGTTGAAATGTTCTGTCAGAGGGGAGAAGTTGAGGAAAGCAGTGTCCATTAGTTAGCTCCAGGCCTTAGTGCTCCCATATCACAAATTTCCTGGAGAAAATATATGAAATAAACATCTGGCAGCCCCAACTTGATCCTGTAAATTAAAATTGGTGTGGATGTCTGTACAAGGATTTGAACAATTCATTCAAAGTCCTGCTAGCTAGGGTGGTCCGAGCGAATTCTGATTCCTAGTTTAGCCTTCTCGGAGTATCAATAATTGGCTCTGTTCTATACTTCCTCGGAGAAGGAACTCCAGAAGGCGATGCAGGGTCCAATCCATGATTCTGAGGTGAAATATGTATTGTTGAGAGTGGGCTGAGAGAGATATAAAACACTGGATTATATTGCAGGGCTCAAAGGCCAGTATTTATACTGTAGAGAAATGTGGCTAGAATGTTCTACAACTGTAGAACAGTAAAGAATATCTGAGTAAGTCCGCAGCAAAAGAATCGGGTAGAACATCAGGGAGTCTGCGTAGAATCAAACCGTGGGAATTCTATTTATAACAACAATATGGGCTTACAAGCTTCTTGGACTGCAAACCACAGTCATCTGAAGTATATTTGGGTTGTAGATCATAAGACCAGGGGGTTTATGTGCCCTTGGCAGTATTCCCGTGGCTTTCTCCTCCTTTCTACCCCTCTTTATGCCTCTATGGAGCTTCCTCTCTCTCTTTCCCAACCTTTTGCTTGCTGAAGGCAACTTCCACGGGCTCCTTACTACCAACTTCCTTAGCTAACAGCTACATGCAAACTCTGAAAGCTTCTGCAGCACTGTTTGAGATATTTCACTGCCCTACTGATGTAGGGGAGGAATAGACAGTTTGAGTATTGACGCTGTGAGGGCTGGATATGCTGTGCATATGCCCTCGCACACCACACCAGTCATTGCGGATATGACAAAGAAGACCTCAAATGGGAAACCCTTCTCAAACTCGGCCGATTTGGAACCCCAATTTGGACACTATTGCCAAATCACCCGATTTAGAGGCATGCACATCGCCACATGCGCTCTCCATGCACTATGCACCCTCATCACCCATGCATATCAACATGCTATGCCAGCTCCAGCCACTCAGACCACAGCCGACTGAACATACACTTGAATTGGAGTTACCTTCTCTGAATTGGGTGGCTTGTTTCGATGGAGTTCAAATCAACAGATTCTGTGCACCAGTTCAGGTCGCACTCACCAAGCACTTCCCATATATGGTTGAAACAGGAAAATATGGCATGAGAAATCACCCCTCTTGCAGTTCACAGCTCTAGAGCATCTTCCCTATCCTGGTCCCAACGACTGCACACACTTCCAATCTCCCTCACTCCCCCCAGAGGACGAACAGGAGTGTCTTTGTGTGCTACCATTCCACACTGCTCAGACAATGCAACTCCCACAACGCTGAACTTGTTGAATGCTGAATGCAACTCCAATGCCTCCTGATGGCGGCAAAGGAGTGCTGGAGTGTGTTTTATGGGTAATAGTACTCTGGAGTGACCTCTGGTGATGTTGGGGTGGCTTTTTAGTTTGCCCCTAAGCTGGCTAAGGCTTAGAAGCTGAGAAGTGGGCCAAAACTGAGATGTTTGCTACTTGAGCCATAGTATTTATACCCCAGCCTAATGCTGTGTCCGGACTTGTTCCTTTGTGCCCCAAACCCGGTTGGTTGCACATTCCTCCACCCCGGAGTTCATTATGAGTCACTCAGCACTCTGAGAGCCTCCGCTCACATTGTTCTAGCCAGGCGCCCACTTCTCGGGGACCGGAGTTACTTACTCTTAGCCCCAGACATGCCGTTTCTCCCTTTCCTGCATGTCCATGTGCTCTCTCTCAATGCGCCTCCCAATCCCAGCTTCTCTCTGAACAAGATTCCCCTTGGCACGGCTCTGTGGTGTAACAGTAAACACACTCCATAACAGTATCACCTCAGTGTTTGACATGGAGAGAATGGAGTTTGATCCTTTGCTGAGCCTTTTTCTTCCAATCCTTCAGGGATATCCAAGGCACAGTTTGATGGCATAGCTGGTAACACATCGCAGGAAGTCCAAAGTTTAATCCTTCATCAAGCCATTTTGTGAGTGATTCAAGACTTTTTTGTAGGCAGGCTAGTAATCCTTTGCCAGAATAAAGTCTGAAGTGGGCATGTCTGAGGTCTGGTGGCATAGCAGTAATGCACTCCATTTGCATAACTGGCAGGAAACTGAATAATGGAGGGTCCAGAGTTTGATTCTCCACCTGGCCTTGTGTTTTTATCCAGCTGGACAGTGATGAGATAAATGAAGTACGAAAGGCAACAGGTTGAACAGCTTGGTGGCATAATGGTAATGTGCTCTGTATTCCTATGTACAAGGTATGGTTCACGGAAGGTTCGGAGTTCAATTCTCCATCGAGCCATTGCTTGGGTCTGAGTAAGATTTTTAAAATTGGAGTTGCTGCTTTTCTCAACGGTCCGATGGCGTAATGGTATCGCACTCCGTATTTATTGGTTGGGAGATAAGCCATTTCATGGAGAGTTTGAACTCAGGCCTTCAGCTTTTTGCACATGTCGGAGTTGCATTGGTTTGAGCCCCTATCGGGAGCTATCACAAGGTGATGGCTCACAGCACTATACACAGACTAGAGGGCACGGAAAGTTGGGTTTGTTTTGCCAGTTCTTAGAATTACTTCCTGGGTGATCTTACGATCAATAGTTGTGTTGTTTCCTTAGTTTCAAGCTCACAAATATTGCTAAAAGCAAATAAAGACACAAGTTCTTCTATTGCTTTGTGCACCAAATGTCCAAAGTTCAGATAATTGGTTATTCCCTTAATCCACCTTATTCCAAACTTTGTCCAAAAGACCAATATATTGCAAACACTGAAACACTAATAGAAAACTCTACAGCTTCCCAATGGTATTCTGAATGAATTCAAAGCTTTCCCAGAAGCACACAGACACAGTGTCTGCACTAGTCTCAGGAAAGGGAAGGATCCACTGGTTAGGGTTAGGTTAGTTCCACTGGTGTTCCACCTAGAAACCTCTGGTATTTATACAAACTGGCAGTCCAAAACAGGAATAATAAATAATATGAGACTTTGAGTGCAAATGGATAAATGGAACAAGGTGGGCAACCAGGCACCACACCCATTTGGTATAAAACATAACCTGTTGAACATTAATTTGCGTGTCAAATCTTTAGCTAAAGATATATTTGGCTGATAAACTGCAACCAGTGAAGGGGCGGCACTGATTTCATGGAGGAAAACATACCGGATCAGAGAAAAATCCTGATTTCTGCAAGGTTGGAGGCTGTGCAACAGGGCAGAGCTCATATCAATGAACAATGGAAACAACAATGGTAGAACAATGAGCCATTGAACAATGGGGACATCGATAGGTACAATGTACAATGGCGCACTGGATGAACAATGGTGGTGGTCACGTGGTTTTACATCAAAACACGTTGAGATGTGTCATAACACACTCTGAACGTGTTTCAACAAGCAGGTACTTTGGGAACACACAGCTGTTGAAAGGCTGAATGCTACGTACTGAGAATATACCCATAGGACAATAGCCATATAGTAGGTATACCACAGTTGCAAGCATGTCTTGGTATATGGATGATTTCACATTCATCAACATGGTAATTACCCACTGGGGATCCTCCCAGGGCATCTGCTGCAGGGGGATCTCCTTTATTACTGCTGTGTGCATGACAGCATGCTCATGTGTTGCAAAATATCTGCAGGAATGGTGAGGAAGCACTGAGGCAAAACACTAGAAATGTACTCTTATTCCAGGTGAAGCAGGGTCTGCATGTATGGCAATGAATTCTAGATTAGTTGGTAATCTAAGTGTTGTCTGAACTCTCCTCAGTTTGGAGCCCTGGGTCTTGCATGGGTGGAGACAGAAGATCAGGGATGGTACAGGGAGCACAGATCTTGGATCTTGCATTATGTCTGGATGTCCTGGAACATTCTTAGCATCTCACCATTGAATTCAGTGGCAGGACCAGCACTGTTGATCACAAGAACAGAGTGGTTCTGGTGCATTTGAGTTGCTTCTCTGCTGGCACTGCATCCAAGTCAGCCCTGTAGACAACAAGGATACCAGACTGCTTGGGGCCAGGTCTGATATCACAGTCAAGGGACAGATGGCCATGGAGAAGCACACTATCCTTGAAACATTGGGATTTGATTACCTCCTCCAATGTCATTCAGTTACAGCTTGATACAAACCAGAGTTAATCACAATATAACAATGCACTGAGGTTTTAAACCTCAGGCAAAGATCCAGGCGGTCACCCACCAACAGCGAATGCAAGGCCCTTCGGCTTCAGCTCAAGACTACTCTGATCACCATTATGCTTCCACTTTGGCAGTATTTGGTCCTCATAACTGCGCTGCGATCATCACATGTGGCTCCCTAGGCCCAGTGCTGGCTACTGCATGAACCAACTCTGGCAAGGTACCAATAGTCAGGTGTTCGCGAACATTTAGCCTGGTTCGCGAACTCTTCTGCCCTTTCCAGTCATAAGTCCACTGAAAGGGAGGTTTGCGAATATCAATATTGTTCGCGAACTCCTTCTTGAGACCTTCCTGCATGGAAGTTGTGTTCACGGACTGTTCCCTGCCCTTGTCTGGTAGTATAATCCACAAAGGGTGTCAAGGCTTTTATTATATCTCCTGGGTATGGTATCTAGCCTGCAGGGCAAGCCGTTTCCTGGATCACAAGAAACAACTCTGTCTGACAGAGTTCACGGACACTTCTAGGATCATGAAGTGGATCCCCCATGTTTATAAGGACCGCGCTTCTATGTCTCCACAGTGCGTGCTAGCTCTTCTAGCATCATTAGTACACAGTTGGCAGTTCAGAGCTCACTCTGGCTCTAATTGTATACCACCAAACAGAGGTTCTTAGAATAGTACTAAGAATCGCGAAAATGTGTGATTACACGGGTGGTTCAAAACCAGCCGTATCAGCGGTTGAGTCAGTAAACCATGTGGAAGATGAATCAGACAACAGTGCTACATGAAAGGAGCGGATGACACACTTGATGAATCCTGCCACCAGCACACCCTGCTGCCCTCCATCACCCTTCTCTGCTCATGCATTTGCCACCTCCATGGCCGCCCTCTGCACCTCAAGTTCCCAGCACTGGTGGGTCAAGCACAAAGCTGTCGCTGCATGCTGTATCATTGAAGCATTCTTAAGGAGCATGCCAGTCGTTTCAAGGGTCGTTGCAGGGGAGGTGCACATCAGGTGGAGGTCGAGGGTGTCCTGGAATGTTTGTCCTCTACCACTCGCTGGAATAGATGTCACCGATTTTGGCATGGCCAGCAGCAAGAGCGTGTGAATCCTGCTCACGAGCTGGTAGAGCCAATCGTACCTTGGACCCATCAGAGCTGGTCAAGTCCTGGCATCAAGATGTTCTGTGAACACCCTTGATCTCTTGCATACAGTAAGCTGGATCCAACTGTATAGGACGACGGAGCTCAGCATCACTCTCTGACGGAACATGGCTAGGGCGAGCTCCTTCAGATGAGCCTGTTCTTCCACAGTGGCCACTAATCGCTGTGATGCGGACTGTGGTGCTTTAAACTGCCAGATGGTGGGGAGATCCGGGCTATGTTTAATGCTCGTCCTCTAGGGGGAATTTGTTCTGTCGTGGTAGACAAGTACGTAGGAAGGTTTAAATAATATTGGTGGGGATATCTGTACAAGGATTCAAACAGTTGGTTCAAAATCCTACTAGTTAGGGTGGTCCAAGCGAACTCCGATGCCTACTTAGCCTTCTTGGGTTAACGGAGATTGAATCTGTTCTACACTTCCTCGGGGAGGAGCTTCGGAAGGCGATGCAGGGTTCAATTTGTCAAGTCCGAGGCGAAATATGGATTTGGGGGCTTCCTGGACCACGAACCACAGTCGTCCGAAGTATCTTTGAGTCATAGATCGTAAGACTGGGGGATTTATGTGTTCGTAGTAACGTTCCGGCAATTTCTCCTCCCTTTACCCCTCTTTGTGCCTCTACAGAGTTTCCTCTCTCTACTTCTCACCTGTTTGCTTGCTGAAGGCGACTTCCTGCGGGCTCTGCACCACCAACTTCCTTAGCTAGCAGCTACACACAAACTCCGAAGACCTTGTTGTGCTGTTTGAGAGATTTCACTGCCCTACTTGCGTAGGGGAGGATTAAACGGTTCAATTTCTCCGGCGCTGAACTTCTTATGCCGAAATATAAACTCCGTTCGCTGTCTGACGGCAGCGAGGGAGTACCGGGGTCGCTTTACTGTGTAACTCGACTCCGGGTGACCTCTAGGTGATGTTCAGGGCGGATATTTAGCTACTCCTAAGCTGGCTAAGGCTTAGAAGGTGAGGATGTGGGCCGAAACTGAGATGATATTTTGGTAGACTAGCTGTAGTATTTATACCCCAGCCCAAGGCTGTGCCGGAGTTGTTCCTTTGTGTCCCATACCTGCTCGCTCGCACGCTCCTCCGCCCCCGGAGTTTGCTTATGACTCATTCTAGAACTCCGTGAACCCTTACCCGCACCATCTTCAGTCAGGCACCGATTCCGCAACCCAGACTTGTTGGCCCTAGTCTCGGACACTCCATGTCCGGTCCTAACTCGCCTCCTATCCGGCTTCTGCCTGCGACGGCTCGATAGTGTAGTGGAAACGCACTCCGTATCCTTTCACCCCAGTGTTTGACTTTACGGAAAGTCCGGAGTTCGATCCTCCGTCGAGCCCTTTTCCCATGCTACCCACCTTTTTGGATTACCCGGAGTCCTCATTCCATCCTTTCAGGCCGTTTGGTGTCCGCGACTCGATGGCGTAACTGTAACGCATCCTGCCATGGTTCTTGCACAAGCGCGTCTTTTGCAGGAAGTCCAGAGTTCAATCCTCCATCGAGCCATCCCTCTTTTCCATTCCTTTTTGTGCGCCTCTTACCGGACCTTTGTATCGCTCGCACACATGGTCCGGTGGCGTAGTGGTAACGCACTCTGTTCGCGTAGCTGGCGGGAAACTGAAATAATGGAGGGACCGGAGTTCAATTCTCCGACGGGCCCGTTCTTTTTGTCCATCAAGTAAGAAGATAGGGCTCGGTTTTGATCGATTCAGTGGCGTAATGGTATCGCACTCCGCATTCCTATGAAGTTCGCAGTATGCTTTACAGAGAGTTCGGAGTTCGATTCTCCGCTGAGCCATTATGAAGAAAACCCTTCTTTTCTTTTATGGCGATAGTTTTGGCTGGTCTTTTGATTCCTACGGCTCAGTGGCATAGTAGTAACGCACTCCGTGATGATCTAATGGATTTTCATATCGATTGACGGAAAGTCCGGAGTTCGATTCTCCGTCGAGCCATTCTGACGGAAACCCTTCTTTTTACGGTGATCGTCTTGGCTGGTCGTTCGA